TTAATCTAAGCGAAAATAGGCTTATGTTGTCTTTTTCTATAAAATCCTTTGTTGGGATATGAGGAGGCAATCAGCAACTGGCACTTTAAAAAGTGAGAGGAAAATTGGAATTTCTGTACTTGAAGGAAAGCCAAAGTGCGGATCCAAGTCAATGGTCCAACTAAGGTTTTTTTGGGTTTTTTTCAAGTTATTATTCAACTGTTTTTCAGAGTTGTGAATGAAATTCAGGCTATAATGAGAACTAGGAAAAAAATAGAATAGATATTTCCAGTACCCTGAACTAAACCTTTTGGTAAGTATGAGCCAGAAACCTGAAAAAAAGGGGAGTTTCTAAAGAAATCTATTGAACATTCCCAAGTATAAGTCATGAACTTCTAATACATTTTTTCAATGGGGAAAGGGGGAGCTAATTTTGGAAACCTTCCCTTGTTTATTAATATGCTTGAATAAAAATCATTCTACTATGAAAAAGCAACAAATGACAAAAACAGAAAAGTAAATTATAGCTTGTTGCAGGAGGGAGGCTGCATTAAAAAAAATAAATAAAGGCCACAAGGATAACTTACTCTATGGCCTACTGTCTGGTGGCTAAATAAGCTTAGAAAAAATTAAAGAAGAATATAGAATATAGGTTAAATAAGCTTAGAAAAAAACTAAAGAATATATATTTTCACCTCAAAGTAGATTACTTTGACTTCTAATAGCAAAGAGACCGGAGGCTTCTTTGGATGGAGTAAAACGACAAGATGAGTAGAACAGGGTGAAACCTTTTGAAGACTCAAAATTAATGTCATCCTTATTTATTTACTTGGCATTTTGAAAATGCCTGCACAGGGGAAGGCTTATAGTTAAACACCTGATTATAAAGTAAATGTTTACTAGTTAAGGTCAATGTTTAACCTTGGGATGTGCTTGAGCAATAAAGCTACAGTTGCATCTAAGCAAAATTATGAAGGAGGCAAAGTTTGCCTTCAGTAATTCAAGGCTTCTCATTGTCCTCCTTCAATACCAAAGGCTCTCATGTTCTCTTCTACTTCTCAAAAGCCTATCCTCAGGAAAAGCAAAGAAATTCCAAAACAAAGTAAAAAGATAAAAACTTCACAATATTGTGACTTTCTAATTAGTTACATTTTAGTAGATGGTGCTTTAAACCAATGGAATGTGACTCTAACTTCTGAAATATGGGGGGTCTATATTAGATGGCCTTTGAAGGCACTTCCACCTCTAGAGCGATGATCCAATGACAAATTATACTGTACAAGAAGGTACCTACTCAGCCTCCCTGTTAAGCCAGCCCAAGGAAAAGGAGGTGCCTATTTCTAGGCTATGCTTCTAAAAAAGCTGCAACTCAAATCTGCTTTGGGTATTGAATTAAACAAACTCAGTTTTGGCCTAAAGGGCCAGCAGAAGTCTTTACAATGTTTTCTAAATCCCTTTAAGAGCTGTAAACAAATGGCAAGAAATAAACTATATCTGTATATGAATGATCTTGAATATTTTGGCATTAACACTGGGTGAAGGGGAGGTAGGGAGAGGGACAGGTGGAATACAGGGGAAGGTTCACGTCAAGACAGGGAGACATAGTGTACCTGCAGCTAAAGGTAAGGCTGTGGAGGAAAAAAAAAAACAACAAAAATATTTACTGAAGACCTCTGAGATATGTTTGATTTTTTTCTTTCTATATTGACCCATTCACATTTTATATTTTCAAAGTGGGGGCAATTAGGAAGTGACTTATTATCTGTCTGCTTTAAAGGGAAACAGCAGCTAACATGCATGAATTTTTGATGTCAGCTCCACTACCACAGAAATATCAGTAAACGTATATATATCACTAAAGTCATTATATAATAGCAATGAAAAGACATATTCATGCACAGAGATAGACAAAGCACTGGATCGACAAACAACAATGATCAGAGCAGAAAAATTATCAATTTAACAAGATTCTTTCTAAAAATCTATCAATAGGACTATAATCACAACCTCCTTGGTCACTAATCAAGGTTTGTTATGTTATTTGGACATAAATGAAGTAGGGCAAAGTGATAAACATCCTCAGTAATATCAGTCTCCTCTGTGTGGGGAAAAATGTATGCAAAGGTAAAAGCATTATTCTGAAAGAAACCATCTTCTTAAAGGACTATGGTAAAATCAAATCATGTTGGTGCCCTTCTGCACCTTTCATCATCTTTTTTGTCCAAATTTATTATAAACTAGGTTTTCAGATTCTTCTAATTATAAGAAAATTATTTCACCTTCTTCCTTTCTGTCCCCATGTTACTAAGTCCCAGAGAAAAGAAGTCCACCAAATGAGATTAGCATGGTTCTACAGAGAACATGCAAATTATTCCTGGGAGGTCTTGGTCATAGGTCAACTTGTGATCTCCCAAAAAGTAAATATTTACTTCACACACAATCAAAGTAAAACTTAAGTGTTTGAGAAACTAGTCTATTTTGAAGATCCGTAACACAAAGCAAATATTCGCCTCCAATTCGGAAAGCTCTAAAGCTATGGTTAAGAATCAAAGAAAGAAGTTGAAGAAAAAAATTAAAAATGGAGATAAAAGACATTTCCAAAACCCAGTAGGAAGGGGACAGCTAGGTGGCGCAGTGGATAGAGCACCGACCTTGGAGTCAACAGGACCTGAGTTCAAATCCAGCCTCAGATATTTCACACTTACTAGCTGTGTGACTCTGGGCAAGTCACTTAACCCCACTGCCTAGCCAAAAACAAAAACAAAACCCAGTATGAATTTAAGATTTTTTTCCACTGGGAAAAACAGTGTCCTTTTCTCCTATTTTAACTAAGTGTGCATGTTCAAAAACTTTAAAAAACAAGGATGGGGCAGCTAGGTGGTGCAGTGGATAGAGCCCTGGCCATGGAGTCAGGAGGACCTGATTTCAAATCTGGCCTTAGACACTTGACACTTACCAGCTGTGTGACCCTGATTGCCTCACCCCCCCCCCAAAAAAAACCCACAAAAAACAAGGATAAATGGAACATTCAGTTCTTCACAGTACTGTACTGGTAAAATTCAGAATTGCAGACTGAGTGATGTGCAAAACAATCTTATTAAATAAAATGATATGGTTAAAACAATCTGTCCTTGAAGTTCAAGTCCAAGCAAAGCAGCTACATTGACATTTCTTCGTTTCAAAGACAAAGAAGCGAAAGAAAAATGAAAGGGAGAAAAGATGCTTCTATGACACTATCCTCTTCCACTGGGCCTGCTGGCAGAACAATTTGAGAAGTCTAATGAATAACACGATATTTGCACATGTTTTTGTTTGCGTAACATGCACATGCACACTTGTGTACACACACACACACACACACACACACACACACGTGTGACTCTACTCCTCAACTAATTTTCCAAGATTTGCACACATATTTCTAACAAGGTCGATTTAAATGCTACAACCAAACAAGAGTGGTCATTCATCAACTATTTTCCTATTTTCTTTTCATCATGATAATGGACAACAGTTTGGCATCAAAACTAAATAGGTCTCTATATCTTACCATGCTTATAGAGGTATCAAAAAGTCATGCAACAAAATGGTAGAACAATTTATGAAACTTGGTTTTATAAATAAAAGCATAAACATAAATATACACAAAATAAAACCATTTGTTTTAAATGTTTATTTTTGAACTTTGTGTGTTCCCTGAAAATATGAAAATCTTAAAAATGAAAATCCATATGTATAAACCAAATAAATTTTGGAGGTGGCCATTCACATGTAAAAGGATTTTGGGAAGGTGAGGGGCAGCTAGGCAGCACAGTGAATACAGCACCTGCTGTGAAGTCAAGAGGACCCGAGTTTCAAATCTGCCCTTAGGTACTTGACACTTACTAGCTGCACGACCCTGGGCAAGTCTTTTAACCCCAATTGCCTCACAAAAAAAAAAAAAAAAGGATTTTATGAGAGGGTTCCTTTAAACAAGGGTTTTTTTTTTTTAACCTGGAACATATGAACTTTACAAAAAAATACTTTGGTAACTGTATTTCAACATAATTGTTTTCTTTTGTAATCCCATATATATTATTTAATTAAAAATATTACTGTGAGAAGTTATCCATAGGTTTCACCAGACTGCCAGAGTCCATGACACACAAAAAAAAGGTTAAGAAACCCTGTGTTAAACAATGACCTTCCCTAGGCTTCCCAAATGTTTGTTTATAGATGATTAACCAATTGGCTAAGAAGCATAAAGCTCCATAGGGAGGAGCCACTGCCCAGTGGTGATCAAAATGAAAACAGAATTCAATTCATAATAAGTGATTCACACCCAATTTTTCTGGAACATTCTATTACTAAGTCAAAGTACAGTCACAGAGTGGTGTAAAACATTCATATTATAATACACTGAGGCTTTGGCCTTTTGAATTCCCATCAAGCTAACTGAGGAAAGAAGATAAAGGACAAGAGCTGCAGAATGAGGAGGTCTGGATTTTTATTTAAACTCTGCCCTTTACAAACTAGTAGTGTGGACAAATCACTTAACCTCTCTGGATACTGGGTTCTAATCTGCAAAGCGAAATTGGATGAAATGACCTTGAGAGTCCCTTCCATCTCTAATTTTTATGTTTCTAATGATCATGAATGAAAATCTTACATACTTGAAATTCTTTGAAAATGAAAGTGAAAAAGCCTTCATGACTTTTTAAAGGATCTAATATTCTCACATGTTCCTTTGGTCAACACACACACACACACATAAGCACGCACACACGCACACGCGCAAATCAGTTATTATGGAATCTTGTTTCAAAATAACTTATTGAACTATGGCATGAGTGAAGACTTAGAAGTTAAAATTCACTTATTTAAGGAAAAAAGAGGGCAAAACTACAGTTTGTCTTTTTTTACTTAACAATGATAAGACATATAACAACAGGTTATATTATATTAGTGTTAATACTTGCTATAAAACCTTCTCTAATTTAGTATATCAATTTTTAAATGCCTCTAATGAGGGTGCCACTCACCAGTATGAATCTTCTCATGTCTCTGTAGAAGGTACTTCTGTATGAAACGCATGTCACATTGACTACACTGAAATGGTTTTTCACCTTAAAATAATTTCACATCCATAAATTAGTTACTGAAAATAACAGTTTACAGGAAAAGTGTACTTTAGAAACCTAAACTTGAGTAAATTACAACTCATTCTCTCACAAACCCTAGCCACTTTTCATTAACTACACAGGATTTCATTTCCTCTCAAGTTTTTCCTCAGAATTCACATTCATACCAAAATGGAAATGTGATAAAAAATGGATCTAATTTTCTCAAAGAAGAAGGGCTAGCATAAAACTGAATTTAGATTTGGGAGAGAATAAGCATTTTTATTTACTTATCTAAGCAAAAAGACATCAGGCTAAGTATCAAGAACACATGTTATAAATGGGGGTTAATTATAGCAACTGAGCTATAAATTACCCATTCATTTCTCATAAAGGGGGAAAAATGTACAAAACATTATTTCTGTCATTTTACATATCTACACTAAATGATTTCTTTCCCCTGCCTGCTTCTCCACCCTCCCATCCCTGATTGATACTAATATATTTAAATACTTCTGACTTTGGTACATAAAATATTTAAGTTTGGATATCAAGTTAGTAAGTTCTTAGAAATTGCATTTAAAAGGAACTAGAAATATTTTCTAAGAACTTATCTTTATCAACGTTGATGAAAAAAATAATCATGAGCCCATTGCAAGACAGAAATACCTGTATGAATGAAGACATGTCTCTGTAAATGATAGTTCGTTCTAAAGGCAGCATTGCAGTGCTCACAAACATGAGATTTAGGGGTTTTCAAACCAAGTGATCCATCCTCATTTATTGTAAGGATCTATTTAAAAAAAAAAAAGAAAAAGTTCTTAAAATATTCACAAGCAAATATTAATCTAAAAAAATGATGCCATGTTACCTATTTCAGTGCAAAACAACGAACATCAGAGAATGTGAAAGAAAACATCTTTCCTTAACTACCTTGACTGAACTACTAGAAATATTTTCAAGTGTAAAGATGCTCTAAAATTCAGAAGGGGAATAAAAACCTGACTAGACCAATAAATGAGGACAAGCAAGCTAAAACAGCTCTCAAGCTCACATGTATTCTGGGTGATGGAGTCTTGGGTGCTCTTAGCCAGTTTAACAGTGTTACTGTGTTTTCCCTTTCAAATTCTCATGTCCACTCAAACCAAAAATCTTGTATATTGGACAAGTACTGTGCTTCAAACTTGGAATATAAAACCAAGAGTCACAACTTCTCTAAAACAACACAGCAGAGTCTAACATTCCTAACAATATCAGCAATATTGACAAATAAAAGCTCTTTTACTCAGTTAATTATCAATATTACTTTCTCTACTTCCCACTGAAAAATTAAAAGGAAGTTATGTTATATAATCTTAAATGAGTAGAAATCTGAGGTTCTACCCTGAGATGTCTGAGGATTTGCTCCTATCAAAGGCTACAGTTTCATATGATTCTTGATCCAATTCATTCATTTATTCAACACTGTATTATTTTGACACTATATATAGCAACTCTGTTATGGATATAAAATAAGAACATGATCCCTCTCATCATTTTATAACCTTAATAAGGACACATGACATACAGATATGAAAAGTAAAATATTTATCAGTGGTTTTGCTCAAGGCAGATATGTACCAAATGAGTGGTACACACAATACACACTGAAAATATAGATGTTCAGAAAGAATGATCATTGTCAAATACAATGGTCAAAGAAGGCTTCATGGGGAAAATAGGTTTTAAGTCAGGCCTTAAGGGATAGGAAGGTTTTAAGAGGCAGAGAAGGCAAGAGAAGGCACTATAGACAGGGAAATAATGACAGAAAAGGGTTGGAGGCAGGAATGTGCATAGCATGTTTGAGGCACAGTGAACAGAAGTAAAAATGACTGAATTTGGGTTGGGAAGGAATGGAAAATATCATTGGAAAAGGGAATGGGACCAGTTGTGGACAGTTTTAAATGCTAAGCTAAGGAATTGGGGCTTAATCCCAAAGACAAGGAAAAGCAACTAAAGGATCTTGAGCCAAAGGGTGACATGAAAGTAGCTTTTTAAAGATGAATCTGGCGGCAGTATGTAGCATCATTGAGAAACTAAATGAGACTAAGTGCACTGAAGCCTCCTATCTGTGAGTTTTCTTTTCAGGCTATTCTGAGGCTGGATCTGGAATCTAGTCTGATACAGGACTCCTAGGGCTACCTCAAGCTGAGTTGTTGCTACCAGAATTCCTAAGATATTTCAGGCAGTCAGAAGAAAGGACACAGATAGAATCAGCATGGTGTCTCCAAGTATCTTAGGATTCAGAGTGGTCTGGAATCCAGGGGAGACATGCTATGGAAGCAGGCTCTTGGGAGGAACAATGGTTTAATGCCTATAAAGTGAATGCCTCTAAACAGATGTAAGTTTATAAAAAATCTGTACAACAAACTACATTTTAAAAAGCAGCCTGGAATAAAATAACAGAAAGGCAAGAAGTTAAAAATAACAGCAATAAAAAACTAGACAGCAGGATGAATGGGAAGATACTAAGATCAGAAAAAGTCATATGGAGGGATGGACATGGAAAACAGAGGTGACAAGTTGAGATCTTCAGAAAACAAAGACACGACTTCCTCATAAAACGTGGAAGGAGTGGGAAAGGCAGGAAAAGAGAATTTTAGATTTTAAAAATTTACCTTATCATAAGGCATATGGAAAGTTCTGTCTAATGATTTAATGCAACTGATTTGACAAATAACCATGCAAATCAAACAGGGCAGTTGGGCCCCAAGCAAACTGCTAAGTTGACCCACAATGCTTCAGGGACTAATCACCAAAGTATGGAGGGAGGTGTTTGGCAGAAGAACAGTAGTGGATGTCATACAATTTCCTGAAGTAAGAATGCAGTTTTATCTGTAGCTAGTTAGCTTCAAATTTTTTTAACCACTGCCAAGTCACATGGTACTATGTAATACTATAATATCCATACAATAATATGCAATTTAACAGTATGCCAAAATGAAAACCAAGAGTAGATGACTAATATATTTTTTAAAACACTGATCCAAATCATTTTAGCAAAAAGTAAATAGTTATAGTATTAATAAATTAAAATATCCATTGAAAATTTCAACTAAAAGTAGTATACTAGTTATTAAGTGCCAAAAAAAAGGTAGCTTGGTAGCTTCAGTAGCAGAGCAACGGCAAAGAAAATCTAGCTCTTTGTAGGAACTAAATCCTGTGAAATGGATGTAGTCTTGCCTCCAAAAGCTCTTTTATGAATAATCCAGGGGTCCTATGTCATTGTTTTCTTCCACTGGTGGCAACAAGTATTTTTACTACAGATCCAATATTTAATATAAAATGATTAAACTGTCCTCTTTGCCATGAGAACATTAGAAAAGCAGAGAAACTAGTTTATTTGTAAACCTGACAACATATAAAAAAGATTCCTACTTGTTTTCTACTTTCATATTTTGAATTCAATCTTTCCTCCTATTTAAGGAAGAACAAAGGTACTACTTTGGATGAATATCTTTGGAAAGTTTTATTCTGCTGAAAAAAAAATGGGGGCTGTCTAAAATAGTGAAGGAAGACTATAGTCTAAAATTTATAAATTGAGTTATTTGCATTTTGTACCTCTCCTTATTTCCCCTAGTCCACAGGTAAGAAACCACATGTGGCCCTCTAGATCCTCAAGTGAGGCCCTTCGACTGAACCCAAACTTCACAGACCAAATCCGCTTAAAGGATTTGTTCTGTAAAACTTGTACTCAGTCAAAAGGCTACCACCAATGACCTAGTGGCCTCGAGGTCACGGGTTCCCCACCCCTGCCCTGGACTCTGTAATCCTTTCTCAGAACTATACTGTAGTATTTAAGGCTTTCCAACATACAATATGACCCACTAATATCCACATCAAGTATTACTCTCTCTTTACTGTTCACAGTGAACTTTAAGGCACTGGGTATATGTCCATTTGAGAGGTGTTGGTACCATCATTAAGATACTTTGCTGGATCAAGCAAAGTGTCAATGTAGGTTTCAGTTCATTCCTGCTGAAAGTGGTGGTAAACCAAAGACAAGAAATTAATTTGGCAGAGGCAAGGAGCTCTTTTATAGTAGTAAGACTATGAGATTTACTAATACATTTTGATCTCCTGGTTGAAAACCTGTGCCTTAGAGATTTACTACTGCACTCATGCCAACTTCTTATGACAAATATTTTAGATATGTTTTTCTCTTCAGCATTTTAAATTTTAAAAATTCACTTAGACTAAGACTTAACCTAGTCAAAGATCTTTATTCTCTCACTGTTAAAATACCAATTCCCTGTTGGTGGAGTTGTGAACTGATCCAACCATTCTGGAGAGCAATGTGGAACTATGCACAAAGGGATATAAAACTGTGCATACCCTTTGACCCAGCAATACCACTTCTAGGTCTGTATCCCAAAGAGATCATACAAATGGGAAAAGGACCCATATGTACAAAAATATTTATAGCAGCTCTTTTTGTGGTGATAAAGAATTGTAAATTGAAGGGATGGAAAAATTTATTTTGGAGTACGAGTCTATCAATTGGGGAATGGCTGAATAAGTTACAGTATATGAATGTAATGGAATACTATTGGGCCATAAAAAAGGATGAGCAGGAGGGCTTCAGAAAAACCTGGAAAGGTTTTTTTGAAAGGTTTACATGAATTGATGATGAGTGAAGTGAGTAGAACCAGAACACTGTACACAGTAACATCCACATGCCATGACCAACTTTGATAGACTTATCTCTTTTTAGCAATGCAAGGATCTAAGACAACTCCAAGGGACTCAGGGTGGAAAATGCTGCCTACATTCAGAAAAAGAACTATGAAGTCCGAATGCAGATCACAACATATTATTTGCTCTCTCTTTTTTTTTCTTGTTTCTTCTTTCTCATGGTTTCTCCCATTGGTTCTAATTCTTCTTTACAACATGACTAATGTGAAAATAGGTTTAATATGACTGTACATGTTGAGCCTATATCAATTTACAGGTTGTCCTGGGGTTGGGGAAAGGAAGAGATGGGGAGAAATTTGGAATTCAAAATCTTATCAAAGTGAATGTTGAAAACTAAAAATAAATAAATAAATTTATTAAAATTTAAAAAAAAAAGCTTAACGTCAATGAAATAAAATAAAATACTAATTCCCTTTGACTGAAATCTACCCCTCTTCAAAATAGTTCAGTCTCTCTCTTGAACTTAACTCTTAAAGGGGCACAAACACTTCTTATCCACATTACTAAACAAAACAAGATCTATCCTACTTACTGAATGATTTTTAAACAACATCTATAGCTCACAATGTTGAATGAGCTCCCCCATAAACCAATATATGCAAATTCAGTGACAGGTCTCAAAAACTAAAATATCTATTTTACATTTTTAACAACAAAATTAACTTCCATTTCTATGAAAAATTTTATCTTATGCTCCAGAGGAAATAAAGGCTACTAAATATCCAATTTTGTTATTTCTTTACATTCAAAAACAATGACAAACTTAGCAATACTTACCTGTAGGTAGAGTATTTCAAAGATAACCAGAGAAAGCCTCATCATAATGACTTCATTGACCTGGTTAATTTTGGTGGGTCTTCACTTCCTCAACCAATTTAAGTAGCCCAATAATACTTGGGTTATTCTTTTCCCTTAGCCTCCCTTCCTTAAAAGCTTCAGATTATTTCATTAATGATCAAATTTCTTTAACAAAGATTCCATCACAGCAACACCTTTCTTAACCAGCAGACTTTAGGCAATCTCAAGATTATGGAATATTCAAAAACGAAAAGACTTATT